TTCCCCATTCTGTTATCTGTCTCTGAACTTTAATTTTTTTATTTAATTAAAATATATCTATATTATTTCTCTCCTCCCTCTCCTCCTTTCTACCCCTCCCAAGTCTGTCCCCTCCCCCAAATTCATGACCATCTCTTTTTTAACCACTGTTGTTGCATATACATATAAATGTATCGATGTGTAAATACAACTTGCTGAGTCCATTCAGTGCCTTGTCCATGTATGCTTCTAGGGCAGAGACTTGGTATTGGATAATGAATAAGGGGTTTTTATTGGTTAATTATTTGCCTCTCATCAGTTGTTAATTGCCTGCACTTCTTCATCAGGGGGTGGAGCACAGTGGGATTACCCCATCTACATTAGTATTGGTCGGGTTTAGGCAGCAATGTTGTTTAGATTTCATGGGTGTAGCTTCCCTGTCATATCCAGAAGACCACTTCCATGACATACTTCCTCCAGCTCTTACAATATTTCTACCCACTTCAACAATGTTCCCTGAGCCTTGGATGCATAAGTTTTGTTATAGAGCCATCAATAGGGATGGGGAACTGCATAGTCAGGCATCCTCTGCTTTTTGACTAGTTGTGTGATTCTGCAATGGTTTTCTGATGTAAAATGAGGCCTTTTGGATGAGAGATGAGATCTTCAGTGACTTGAAAAATTTCACTTTTTTTTTATTGTACAAGAGCTTTTAAAATGTATGCAATTCCATGCAACAATTCTTGTTACTTTCTGAGTAGTCTGAGTTCTTTTCAGAAACTCATTATCTATGGCTATGTCTTAAAATGGTTTACCTGTTTTCCTTGAGTAGTTTCAGGTCTCACAGTAAAGATTTTGTGTTTTAATTCATCTTGAATTGCTTTTGGTACAGAGTAAGGAGTATAGTACCAGTCGTGCCAAGATCCTTTTTCTCTTTTTCTTTTAATCTTACTTATTCTTTAGAATTTCATACATGTTTACAATAAGATATGACTGTACATACCCCCAGATCACCCCTCCAGCTCCCTCATTCCCCCATTATGTGTTCCTCCCAACTTACTCTGCTCTGATATTTATCTGAATATAATAACATGACATCTTTCAATTTGTTTTCTTTCATTCTCGTTTCATATTTTGTTTAATATGTTTTTCTGTTATTTTTAATTCCTCTTTATGCCTGTCAACTTCTCCCTGGGATATTTTTCAATCTGTCTTTGGAGCTGTTTTTAGTGTGGATATGGTGGTGATAAATCTGTAGATTTTTCTCCTTAAACATCATTGTTACTTTTAATAGTCCTTATCCAAAATAGACACACAATCATTGCATGTAATTACATAGCACAATGTAGCTTTATTTTTCTTCTGATCACCCACTGGTTACATTTTCCCAGATCCAGATTCCCACAAAGGATTGCTCCTAAGAATGTCAGAATTGGTTACTGCTCATGGCACACTAAGAATAACTGTTCTGGGCTCGTGTCTCTTATGGGAATTGATGTTGCTCTGAGTTAAAGCAGTGCCCGTGGCTCAGCTTTGTTGAGTTTGTCCAATCAGTTGAGGCAGGACTGCAGAATGCTTGTCTCTAACGGAAGGCTGTTCATGGTAAGAATGGGGATGAGGACCAGCACACGTGACATGACGGTGGCCCATAATCACCAGCTGACACTGGCACGGACTTAACAGTGCCTTCCTCTTGATGACAGTGGCTTACTAGCCTTTTGGGACATTGCATGTTCATCTTTAAATACCCATGTCTCCTCTTTGTGTTTACAATCTTTAGTGTTTCTAGCATTCTATTGCAGACAGCACTTCCCAATTAGAAAAATGAAGCTTTAGGCCTAGATGCAAATATGTACACTCTAGATGTGTATTTGCACATGTGTGTAACATGTGTGTGGATAAGTTCCACTTACACACTTTTCTTAAAAACCATGACCCTCTGTCGTGTTCTTTCTGCATTTCCTTTCATCACATTTCCCAAAATTTTCCTTGAAGGATTTCCTTCTTTTTTCTTTCTTTTGGTTATTTTAATGAGCATTTTGTTGTTGTTGTTATCAAAGCATGCTTTGGGAAATAATACTGCATACACCGAGAGGTTAGTGGATGTCTGTGTATGATGGGTATATGGGCATGTGCATATCTATACGTACGATTCAAAAGTGTATGATGAGTGTGTGTGTGTGATGTGTGTATACTGTTCATCTGTGTACAATGAGTGTGTATGTGTGATGTGTGTAAGTTTATGCATGATGCATGAGTATTTGTGTGTATGTGATGTGTGTATGCTGGGCAGCTGTATATGATTAGTGTGTATGTATGTGTGTGGTGTGTGTATGCTGTGCATCTGTGTCTGATGAGTGTGTATGTGTGTGTGGTGTGTATATGTGTGATGTGTGTATGCTATGCAGCTGTGCATCTCTGTATGATGAGTGTGTATGTGTGCATGTGTATAAGTGTATGCATGATGCATGTGTGTGTGTGTGTTTGTGTGTGTGATGTGTGTATGCTGTATGATGAGTATGTGCTTGAATATGGATGCCGGTGTCTTTGGGTGTTCAGGTTCCTGAGTGCAAGTAAAGGCAGGAGGTCACCATCAGGTACCATTCTTCAGGAACTGTTCACTGGATTTTTGGCCACAGAGTTTCTCATTGGAACCCAGGGCTATCTTGTTAGGCTGAGCTGGCTCACCAGGAAGCCCCAGATAGCCTCCAGTCTCTGCCTCTTGACTTTACCAAGGTGCTGATGATCAAGTCCTTGTGCATGTGGGGACAGCAGTTTAACCGAATGTGTCATCTTCTCAGCATAATAACACTTTTAAAAAATTTTTTTGAAGCAGAAAATGCTCAAGCTGACGTTATATCAGTGATAGAGCATTTGCTCAACACACACAAACCCAAACCAAACCAGCAGACATTGTAACCAAAACAGACAAAAATCAAAACAAATGCTGTACACAGAATGCATGTTAATTGTGCTGCCCTTAGCCAACATGAAAGATGATTTTTATTTTATGCACAACTTTTCCTTGAAGCCATATCACTAGGCAATTTCTTAGAGCAGAACATTCTATTTCCTACTCTGAATTTGAAGAACAAAGAATTCCACAATTAGATTGGAACCATGTTGATCAGTTTAGGAAAATATTATCTAGAGAATTTTGACCAATTTGAGATTACCCTTTTATTAATGGTGGAAATATTATTTTTAGGTCCTTCCTGCCTCCGCTGCCATCAAAGAACAGCAGCCATTGCTCTGTGCTGTCCAGGACCTTAATAGTGGTCACAAGGTGATGGAGAAAGTCAGCACGCAGAGATGCAGTTAGATGATTCCAGATGTGTGCACTTTGTGTGCCTTGGAGCTGCTCAAGGTCTCCAAGGGCAAGTTGGATGGGTCACACACTTACACTATGGGGAAACAGATACTGGTACCTTAAGGAAAGCAGTTGCCAAGGACTGGTCATGTCCCTTGTCTCCTCCATTAATAAAGCTTTATATGCAAAAAAAGAAAAGAAAAGAAAAAAGAAAAATGAAAAGAGAAGAAAAAGAAAGATAAAAGAAAATATTATTCTAACTATTAAGTGTGAGTAATGTCTGTTGCTTAACATATGTAATCTGCGTGAGCAAACTAGCATGAGTGTATCAGTTTTATAAGGGGAAAATGAAACCTTAGAAATGTATAGTTTTTGGTTGGTCCTTACACAGTCCATAACAAACAGGTCTGCTTCCTTTCTTGCTTGAGCATTTTAGCATCTCCAAGAGGTATAAAAACTATTTCTCTCTAGCCTGTGACCTTTGCTTGGCTTAGGTGTTCAGTCAGTGCTTTGAAACAGGCTCACTAGTCTAGCAGGTGTGGAGGGAGTGGGTGAAGGCAAGTTATTGATCCTTCCATAATGAAGCAAAGTGGAAAGAAGATCTTCGAGTTCCATATGCTCAGGGAAACACAGAGAATGGAATGGAATGAAAACACAATGATACTAGGAGGCCAGGCTAACGCTGGATAGGTCACTATTCATCTGTTTTTTAATCTGTTTGATTATTTTTGTATTTATGATGTAAATATTGAAAGAGCATGCTGCTTGTAATGACTCTTCTGTCTAACAGTACTGCTTTGCCAAGAGTTATGATACATGATATAGTCTTAACATGTTCCCCAAAGTGTAGGGAATGGCTTAGAGATTCTTTCTGTTAGTAAGGTCAGTAAACAGCAGGAGGGAAGTGTGTTCCTCAGGACAACGAGGCAAGGGATTTGTGCATATGTTTAAATTACTGAAATTTGGACCATTTATGTATTTGTAAATTTGTACTCACTGAAAAGTAATGTTGCTGGTAAAAAGTCCTTTTAAATGCTAAAGGCAGAGCTTCCCGTTGCATCATGATCACTCCTCTCCTGTGGGATGAGACAGCTGTACCTTCGATTCTCTCATTTTGGCAAGTGCTCTAGTCCTGCCTCAGAAGTCCTCTGTCAGAGCAGCTGTGACCCAGCTGCAGGTTTGGAGACAGCCTGGAACAGCCTGTAGAGCACTGTGCGCTCCCTCCACAGAAGTAAGTGCCTGAGTGGCTGGGCTGGGAGCCTTGGATCCGCAGAGCACTTTGCTGCATCTTCTTGTCCAGGTTAGCGGTAATTTTGTCCTTACTTTTCTCATCGTCTCCTTTCTGTAATGTCACCAGATGGATGGGGCCGCCATCATTCCCCTGCCTATACCAGTGTAAGACGTATAAAGATGTCGATGAATTGCAGCTCATGGTGAGTTCATCTCCTTCTTGGATCGACAGAGACTGAGGACTCTGCTGCAACATTTGAGTGTTGACCCCTGTTCAAAAAGGCAATGAAAGGGAAACACAAGAGGCGGTAATGAAATCTTAGTGGCTGTAGTTTAGAGATGGTGAATCCCCCACTCCATATTTCCCAAGTAATAGCATCATTATATCAACTCACATCACTTTATGATCTTTTTTGTATATATAATAAATATATTCTGTAAAGCCTCTACCCTAGGACAGAAGAGGCCCTCAGGAGGCCACCCTCACCTCACCATTTTTCCAAATGAAATATGTACTCACAGGCAGCCTGAAACTTTAACAGACAAACAAGCACTTGAAGGAGCATCCTCATCACTCAGCACTGGAGAGTGCAGCAGAGTCAGAGCTCTCTGACTGTGCTTCCACTGGGGTGGCTACTGAGCACAGGAAAGAGACTGCTTCACCCAGAGACCTTACTGACCTTCTACTGCTCAGCACCACACTAATGTAACTCAGATACCTTTTAAAACACTGCCACCTTTTGGCTAGACCGAAAAATGTTAAGTAATGAAGATTTTTGTATATTTAATTTCTGTGATACAAACCTTACAATCTAGCAACCTAAGGAAAGAAAATATAATTAAAACAGATAGAACAGGTGATATGAAGGAAATGGAGGATACTTTGTGTTAAAACTTTAAGTGGAGCTGGGGAAAAGGAGCTAGGGCAGAGCCAAGAATAGGAGTGGGTTAGCCAAAACTCAGGGTGTGTGAAAAAGTCTTAAGGAAATTTACTGTTTGTAAGCTGATATGTATGTCTGTAACATAGAAAGTGAGTTTGGTCTGAAGTTCTTTGCATGGTTGGACAATGTTGCTCTCAGAAGACATGGTTAATTAAAACCTCAGCGCCAGGCATGAGATACTTTCCTATGAGTGACTGGTGAGGGAAGCCCCAGAGGCATCCAAAACAACACCAGTTATTGCTGTTGCTCTTGGTTACCTAGTATATCTAAATGTTAAGACTCTATTTTGGAAAAATATTATCTACTTGTTGCAGACCATTGATTAGGAAGTTCCCTGCTGGCTTGGTTTCCCACGGGAAAGAGTTCGTGTCTGGTACTGTAAACCTTATCAAAAGCCCCAAAATGGAGGGAATCATAGGCCCTGGGTGGAGGTGAGTGGAGTTACTAGTGTTATTTCACTAAATGGTCATGCTATCAAACTATATCCTTTATACTTATGCTTATACCTATAGATTTATTCTGCTCTTAACCTTGGTCAGGGGAGCGGTGGCTAATGCACACACACATAACTCCTCAAAGTGCTATGAGTAAATGAGTGTATGTGGTTGGGTCATCTATGTCAATCTCCCATCATCCAAAGCTCAGGAACATGGAGGAAAGAGTGTAGGAGCTGGAGGAGTTGACAAGTACTGTGGAATGCTGTCTTCTAGACATGACATGGCTGCCCTATGGATCAACTCACAGCTCTGGTTGTCTGTGCGAGGGCTGCACTTGTGTGACAGACTTTTCTTGGGGGTGATGCATAGTGTGGATATATCTACTGATTTCAGAAAGTGAACCTATGATAGTCAAAATAATGATTTTGTCAAGGTCCAACTTGGTGACCCAATGTGCTTTGAGTGGGGTTACTGGCAGGCATGTTGTATTAGTCCCTGCTAGGTGGGTTCTACTTGGCAGTCTCTTATGGGACAATTCTACTTATGCACAGGACCTATCATAGCACCTGTCTGCTGAGGCTACAGTTGGGAATAGGTCTTACATGATTGGACAGCATGTAGGCTATTAGCATATTTTACAGGAGTCCCAGAGGCCTTCTATGTTTCCCAACCTATGTTGGTTCATTTGTAACCATATTTTTACATGAACCCAGTGAACAACCTCCAATGACACCTGAGGACTGACGACCTTTAGTAAGGGCATCTGTTTTGATTACCAAGAGGACTTAGTTGGCTGTGGCTGCCTCATGGAAAACTATCAGGAGTATTTTGCATATAATAGACTTTCTTACACTATCCTGCTGTTTGAACTATGTTCCCATAAAAGCAAGGTCCTGGTTATCATCCTGTGAATAGTGGGACTGAGAAGGTGAATCTCAAGGAGTACTCTGAAGGTCTACTGTTGATTACTCCAGGTGAATGCAAATTGGTTTGAGATCCCAGCCACAAGAGGATACTAAAGTAAACCATTAATAAGGTCCAATACACCCAGAAACAATTCTATCACATGTATCAATCATTTTCTTAAAGGTTCAATATTTGGTACATGAGTGTGGATGGGAGGTATTACCTTAGCTGGCCTTCCATAATCCACAGTCATCTTTCATAAGCAGTCTTGCTTTCTTATCCTGGGATGTATTCATGGGGGCACTGTGCATCTCTCCACCCTAATGGGTTTAGTGTATCTAGCTCAAACTGACCTGACCCATGTCAAAGGATGTCTTGCGCTTGACACTTGATTTGGCTACTTGGGTTTGACAGGTTCTGGGCTGGAGCTACTGTTATTATCTCTTTCTCAACCACACCTGAGTGCTGAGATAGCTCTGAGTCTGGCAGGTTTTGAGCAGGCACTGTAGCTATACCACCCCCATTGTCATCTCAACCCCCACTGTATTTTGATGCTGTGGAAGCCCCTGGTCTTGCAGGCTCTGAACAGACACTACAGCTATAGCCATCGCGTTGTGTCTCTCAGCTATACTTCGCTTCTGTGTGAGCTCCAGAGTGGATTAACAATTTCCACCTTTACCGAACTTTGTTGTAGGAGAATAATGTACACAGCTTACACTTTGGGCATGACTGTCCACCCTGAGGACAGACTTAGTCTTTCTTATTTTAACCGTGTTATTATTGATGCCTTCTGTGAACTCTTGCTTCAACTTTAAAGTCTTCCAGAAGCTCATCAGCATTTGACTTTCTGTAAAGTTTTTTCCTCAGGAACTCTGGATCTCCACAAATCTTGTCGCACTTGTCTTCAGGTGATCCAGGTGGATCTCTTTCCTGGCTTTGAACTCTTTAAAGTCTCCACTAGATGGTTTTATTATCATTTACACACTTGATTTCCATGCTTATCTATGTAGCTCGGATCTGTCACAACCGCTCCTACTTCATAAAGATCACATCCTACAGTGGGACTCAACCAAGCCTCAAAAGCTGCATCCCAGTATCAAAGTCCCCAGTGAACCAGGTTTGTGAACACAGTTCTATCTGGTCCAGTGAACTAGGGATCAGGTATAGCTTCTCTTATTTCCAGTTTCATCAGCAGTGCCTAAGTTTACGGTAATGTTTCATATTTCTGGATATCTATGGGGACCTCAGATGGAGATATCTAAGTGTTTCTAAAGGCCTTGAAAACATAGTCCATCAGATTATTTATCTCACATTGTTTCAGGTTGTGTAGCCTTTGCCTTAAGGAGAGATGCCTCCACAGCAGTCAGACCACATCCTCTCCCATGCCACAGCTTCATGAGCCAGGCTGTGGCAGGATCCTCCACTGCTTGTTTAAACGTTTTCTCCAGTTTGAGCAGTTTACATGCTGAGTATCTCCTGGTTATAATAGTTTCTTGCACCATATCATGATTAAGCACTGGTCTTCGTTTTGGATCACACAGTTTCCCTTCTCCTCCACTTAAAGTTGAACTAATTTTTCTTTAGTTTCTTTAGTACTAAGCAGTTTTATTTTTCTTTAGTACTGAGCAGATCTTCAGGACAATGCTGAGTAGAAGTGATGAGAACAGAACTCTCCCATGTTTCTGAGACTGGCTTGAGTGACCTCAGACTCACCTCAATAAGTTTCAATGGAATTATGTATTTTATGAAGTTGTCTTATCAGGTTAAGAACGTTCATTTCTATTTTAACTTATGAAAAATATAAATAAAAAAATCAACACTGAATGTTGTCAAATGATTCCTGTATACATTGAGATTATCTGCTATTTTCTTGTTAATAAAATGTTGTGTATTGCTTTTCAAATTCTATACCAACTTTAACTCCTCAATTTCTCCTTGCAGTACAAGAATACTTAAGCTGTGGTGGTACACGACTGTATTTCTGCACTTGAGAAGCTGAAGCAGGATTGTTAGTTTGAGGTAGCCTGAGCTAAAAATCAAGGCTGTGTCTATATATCTATGTGCCTATGTACCCATGTCTGTCCGTCTATCTGTTTAATCTATATATTTGTATACCTATCTATATATCATCAATATGTCATCTATCTACCTATCAGCTATCTATTTCTCTCTCTCTCTCTCTCTCTCTACCTATCATGTATGTGTAAAATTACAATTCTACTTATTGTATCTAAGAGAAAATATAAATATTAAAATCAAGCAAGTGAAAGCATTATGAAGTCATTTTTGGATATCAAAAAGAAACAATTATAAATGAAAATATTAAAGTAAGCAGCAGAAATAAATGTGTGCTGTACTTCAGTTTCTGTCATTGCTAGGATATACTTCAAACTGTTAAAACTGGTTATTATGGGAGTTAAATAGGAAGAGGGATGGAGAAGAGTGTCTGTTTTTGCTTGAGTAATGATGAAAATAATTTTTATTCTTTTATGTAATAATGAAAATATTTCAATGCAGATTAAAAGTGAAATAACTATTGGTTGCTTCACAAACTGGTTATTTGGACTATATGGCATATGGGAGCAACAGAAAAAACTTCTAATTTTTCTTAAGAGAAAATGAAAGAAAGCCAAGGTTTTTTTTCCATTTCAGGAATGTTTGAAGGATGGAGTGATGGGTCTGTAGTTGGACACTTCCATGGCTCCAAAAGGATTTTCTCATCATTTTTACTTAAGTTTACACAGAAATAAGCTTTTTGTTGTTATTAAAGGAAAAACTCAGAAGTTCTCATCCCCTTCTTATATTTTTGGTTGTGAGCCTAGCCTTTAATAGCTGAGCCATCTTTCCAGCCCTTTCATTCCCTTCTTACTGCAGGACTAGAAGATGTAGCATCAGCTGCCATGCAAACGTGTCCATCCTTCCATGACTGTTAGATGTTTTTGCCCAGTCCCACTATCCCCTTTGCCATTCCTTCTTGGTTTCTCACTGTCTTCCCAGGTTCCTGCTGAGCTCATTGCTCATTGCATGAGATGGATGCCACTGCTTCCCCTCCCCCATCAGGCAGATATTGCACGGGTGCAGCCCTGTCTGTCACACTGTGCTACTCTCAGGATACAGTGGTACACAGCAGCGTCTCTCAGGCTGACATGAGGCAGGATCAAGGTGCTTGACTTTCTGTCAGAGGCAATAGCCAGGAAGGCCAT